ATGTTGAGTGCTAGGATTGCTAGTATACCTACTCAACCGCCCTACAACATATGTTATGTCGGGCCTGGTGCTTGTCATGGCATACATCAAGCTACCAATGGCTTTAGAGTACTCTAGTTGTGAAATTGACATGTCTGTATTTGTAATTAATTTCACACTAGGATCCATAGGCATGCTTATAGGAGAACAATCGCTATAATTAAAGTTCTTGAGAATTCTCTCAATATAATGAGATTGTGTCACTACAATCCCTTTGTTATCCCGTTTAATTCTTATACCAAGAATAACATCAGCCTCTCCCATGACTTTCATGGAAAAATTAGATGACAACAATTTCTTAGTTTCATCTACCTAATTTTGATCAGTTCCAAAAAATCAACATGTCATCTACATACAAGCAGATGATCACACGTAGCTCCTTTAGCATCAAATATTTTATAAACACATTTCTCAAATTGGTTTAAGGCAAAACCACATGACAAGATAACTTCATCAAACTTTGATGCCATTGTTTAGGCGTTTGTTTCAGCCCGTACAATGATTTTACCAGTTTATACACTTTATGCTCGTTTTCGGGCATAACAAAGTCTTCCGGTTGTTTCATATAAACTTCCTCATGAAGATCACCATTCAAGAAGGATGTCTTCACATCCATTTGATGGATAATCATATTGTGTATTGCCGCCAAGGCGACTAACAATCTAATAGTCGAGATACGTGCTACCGGAGCATACGTATCGAAATAGCTAATACCAGGTTTTTTCAGAAACCCTTGAATGACCAACCAGGCCTTGAATTTATCAATTTTCCCGTCCACTTTTATCTTCTTTTTGAAGATTCATTTGCATCCAAGAGGTTTAGAACCTAAAGGCAAATCTAATAACACCCAGGTGTTATTTTCAAGAATTGATGACATTTCGTCATCAATTGCCTCCTTCCAGAAGATGGCATCTTGACATTCAATCTCTTCTTGAAAGGTCCTTAGGTCATCCTCAATACTGTAATAGTAAGAGTATTGAAGCCCAAGCTCATCCCTTGATCCTTCAACCAAATAAAGTTGGAAATCGGGACCGAAATTTTTGGCAATTCGGTCTTGTTTGCTCCACAGGACCTGTTGTGTTCCGGGACTTGAAACACCATCCAAAATTTCTGAATTTTGCACTTTATTAGTGCTATGAATCAGGTCTCTAGGCCTTTGCATCGATGAGTGTCGCATCTCATCAAAAATCGCATCCCACGAGTCGATAACGGTATTTATTGATACTGAATGGTTAGGTTCTATTACATAGAACCTATAAGCGTTGGACAATGAACATACAGTCAATTCCACATTCACCCAAAGTCTTCCTTTTGGGTTCGGGTAGTTTTACAACAACCCGACAACCCCAAATTCGAAAATAAGTCAAATTCGGAGTTCTCTTGAACCAAAGTTCATATGGGATGGTTTTGTTTCATTTGTTTGGAACTCTATTCAAAACATAACAGACCGTTAACATGGCCTCTCCCTAAAATCCCTCACTCAATCCCGAGTAAGAAAGCATCGAGTTTACCATTTCCTTTAAAACTCCCCTATTTTGTTGATGTGTGTATGGTGTCGTTGTCTCATGAAAAATACCAACTAATTGGAAGAATTGGGGATCCATATATTTCCCTCCCCGATCAGTTCTAAGACACTTAATCGAATTACCCAGTTGTAATTCAACCTCGTATCTATAAATTTTAAATTTATCTAACGCTTCGTTTTTGGAATGCAAAATATAGACGAAGCAAAACCGAGTGTTGTCATCAATAAACGTGACAACATAACTCTTATTTACCAAAGAAAGAGCAAAATGAAAATCAAAAAGATCAGTGTGTACAAGTTCCAAAACAACCGACTTTCTTTCAACATTTGGAAAAGGTTGTTTCGTAACTTTTGTAAGCATGCAGGTCTTACATTTTTCTGCATAAATATCAAAGGCTGGAATTAATCCATCCTTTAACATTTCTTGCACTCTTCTAAAATTTACATGATCCAATCTTGCGTGCCAATTCATCGAGTCATTTTAGAAGAAGAACATTTCGATAAATATGCATAATATTAGAAATTGAAATTCGATTCACCACATTTAAACAAAACATTTTATGATGATAATAAACAAATCCAAAAAAAAATAACTATATTGAGATAGAATTTTTTACCTATCCGATTATAGACTTGCTTATAGCAAATACTATTCAAACAACCACCACCAACCAAATTCTTACCAGTCCCGCAAATCGGTGCAGTCGACTCGTTCCCCATGTTTAGCACAAATCCATCTTCAACCGGTGTCAATTTCTCAAACCAACATTGATCTTTGCAAACATGGCATGTCGCCCCTTAGGCCACCTACCATCCACAATCATCATTATGTACATAGAAAGACTTGGGAATTTGTGAGACATAGTAAACATGAACGGATTTATCAAAGTTAATCAAAAACTGACCTCCTTTCACTTGATCTTGGTCCTTAAACCCGGCTCCACATCCTCCACTTGTTTCACCAGCACCGTTGAGCTTAACTCGACAATCACGTTTGCAATGGCCCATTTTGTTGCATCTCCAACACACCAAATCCTTTTTTTAAGGACTTATTGGGTACATCAAACTTCCACTTCTTGCCTTTCCCGTTATTGTCATTGGAGTGTGTTTTCTTTTCCTCGATCATGTTAACCGAGGATTGTCCCAATTCAACTTTCTTATCCTTGCCATTTTCTTGCACCCAAAGATTCTTTGATGTGCAAGTGGCTACCAAGTTGTACCAACGACAGTTCCTCCTTTTGATGTTTCAAATTATGCTTGAAATCTTTCTAAGACGATGGAAGTTTGTCAATCACACTCGACACAACAATGGATTCATTCATATTCATTTTGTGCAATGTGAATCGATCCAAAATGCAAAGGATTTCATTATATTGTTCCATTACGGGCATTAAGTCAACAATTTTGTAACTATTAAAATCACTCACCAAGAACTTCTTACTAGAAGCATCTTTAGCGATATATTTTGACTCAAGGGAACTCCATAATTCCTTCTCACTTTCCGTATTTTGGTAGATGTCAAAAAGGGGATTAGTCATACCGTTTAGAATGTGGCCTCTGTATATGTAACGTCATTCTCACACTTCCTCCTTCTCTGGGCTTGTTCCAGCATCTCGTCCTCCACTATCTCAGGCATAGGGGTACTCAGCAGATACACCACCTTCAAGGTTGTTAGAAGAAAATTCATCTTTTTCTGCCAGCGCCTGAAGTCAAGTCCTTCAAATTTCTCCATCTTTCCAAACATTGAGGTCATCTCTTTTACAGGCGCAACCATGGCTGACATCACAAGAAATATCAATTTGATTGTTTGGGAAAATATAGGACCAGGAAAGGGTTGGTCGATCAAAACCGGATTATTTGAGAATCGTGTAAGAGATCACTTTCCGAATTTAATTTCGACCCTATGCTTGGGTTATAAGAAATTCAATCTAGGATAAGACTTAACAGAACACTTTCGCTTTTAGGCACAAAAACGAGAGCAAACTTGTTGGCGACTATTTTTGGATCGTTCAAATCCCTAAAAACATAAGCATAAAGGTTATTTATGCTCATAAAAATTAACTGAAATGATAATCATGGATTAATTTTAGGAGTAGTGGATAGTTATAGAACTGTACATTAAAAGTAGAGGACAGTTACAAAACTGCTCATTAATGATAGTAGACAGTTATAAAACTGTTATAGTCGTTCCATACATGAAGTCAGAGACTAGACGGACCAAAGCCCCTCTGGTCCTTAAGGACTAGAGCCCCTCTGGTCCTTAAGGACTAGAGCCCCTCTTTGTCTTACGAACCAGATCCAAGTCTTAGCAATCATAAGCAAGAACCAGAGCCTCTGATCTTATCAATCAGCGCCTCTAGTCCTTAACAACCAGAGTCAAGGCAGACCAGAGCCCCTCTTGGTCTTACAAACCAGATCCAAGTCTTAGCAATCATAAGCAAGGAACCAGAGCCTCTGATCTTATCAATTAGCGCCTCTAGTTCTTAACAACCAGAGTCAAGGCAGACCAGAGCCCCTCTGGACATTAACAACCAAAGGCACGGAGCCAGAGCCTCTGGTTCTTAATCAACTAGACTCAAGGTTGTCCTTATCATCTAGAGGCAAGGCCGACCAGATCCGCTCTGGTCTGGTCTTTAACAACTCTAGCAAGGAACTAGAAACGAGCACCATGCAGAGCACCATGTAGAGCCTCTGCATAGTACATGCAAAGCCTCTAGCTCGCCTATATAGAGCTCTGCATGAAGACATTTCTGGTCCGTCTCTAATCCCCTTCTAGTCCTTATGATCAATTTTCACTACAATGCAAGGGGTGCAGCCCCTTAACTCCCACCAGGGTCATACTCGTCTTATAACAAGTGTGCACTCCGCACCTTCTGACTTGTATTAGAACAGAGTAACCCCCTTAGAACTCGATGTTACTTCCAATTACACTTAAATGGTCTGGTGACAGTAAAATCACCAACAGTTGATTATCCAGGTTGGTATTGCATATGTGAGTCCATGATTCACATTTGCATCTTCATATGTGAATAATTGGTAAAAGATGTAGGTAAACAAGTATAGATACACATGCATTTTTAAAATGGTGTTTTTGGTTTTACTAATGATTCATATATAGATCAACCTTTTTACCTTTCTCATTTAAACCTTCCCCCAAGAACCATTATATCAGAAAAATCAATGGTCTAAATTAGAACGACATTGTTGTAGATAAATAGAAAGTTGAGGAAACTTAAAGGCTTGATTGATTGGTGGTATAATTGGGAAGAAAAAAAATCTATTTGAAGATGTATATGTGAAACCATATAAATAATCTTTGACATCGATTCACATATTCATCTTCAAATAGATTTTTTAAATGGATTTTTGTATTCATATTATCTCAATGAGTATATTTTTCTATTAATATACACTAAAAATAATTGTCCAGAAATTAAGATGCAAGTAATATCATCACCATATATCCACTTCAAATAATTTCCACAATCAACAAATAACATGGCTTTCAAAATCTTCCTGAAATGAATGATACACACATAAATATTCATAAAAAGTTGTGATTGCAAAAACTATTTCCTGATGATCACAAAAATTCATTCAACACTCAGCCTACACCCACATCTGGTTTTGGCACCATCAGCAACCCGACCATGGTCCGCTCATCGCAAACGAACATATAATGTTATATTTCATAACCATTACTTACCATCCACACTTGAAGGAAGTAAGCCTCCGCTGTACGTAAAGAGGCTTTCGCTCAAGTAAGGATGGTCATGCCTGTTACTTTTCCCTTCATAACTTTCTGATGTGGATGCTGATTCAACATTCGGATTGATACCTGCCAATTCCATGATATTCTCTATCTCTTTCATAACTTCACTCATCCTTGGTCTTTGATCCCCTGTGTCTTCCACACACCTCAATGCAATATCCACAAATCTCTCCAATCCTTGTAGTTGGGTATTGAGACCGATGATTGGATCAAGAACTTCACGGAGGTTGTATAAGTCTTTTTCCTTGTCCATTGCTTCGTTCACCTCCCTCACAATGTACCTACCTCTCTCAATTGGATTTCTTGCCGTTATCAGCTCCAACATCACGATTCCAAAACTATAAACATCACTTTTTTCCGTCAATTGCTGAGTCATGTAGTATTCAGGATCCATGTAGCCCTATAACAATTGGAGTTAAAGTTAAAAGTGTTGAATTGACATGCATCAAATCCGAATATTGGCAAGAAAAGGCTCAAGTTTTTCTATATCTATGCTCAAACAATCTAGCAAAAACACTGAAAAAGAAAACCAAATTCGTTTTAGTTTTTTACTTAATGTAGAACTTTTTTCAGAATCAATGTAACAAAATTTTAAACTTCTCTATTTCCTATTTGGTGACCCATATTTTCTCAATCAATATATTTTTGACCATGCGCCTTTTTTCTCTCAATCAATATAACTTGACATCCTAGTCATCAAGAGTTACAAGATGAGTACGTTACCTGTCAAAATAGGTATGAAATATGAAATTTTGAAACTATGTTACATTGATTGTGGAAAAAAAAATTGTTACGGTAAATAGGAACTAAATGTTGCTTTGTGAGCAAAAATAAAATGGGTATGAAAGAAATGTGACTAACCATGGTTCCTTTGACTTGGGTGGTAACGTGTGTCCTTTCAACATCACCCATCGGCTTGGAAAGACCGAAATCAGCAACTTTGGCATTCAAGCGTTCATCAAGTAAGATATTGGTTGTCTTGACATCCCTATGTATGATGGGAGGATCTGCAAGATCATGAAGATACTGCAAACCTCTAGCTGCTCCAACAATTATTTTAAGTCTTCTCATCCAATCCAACCTGATCCCGGACTTCCCTGTTGAGAATTTTGGTGCTCTTTGCATCATTCTATTGAATTCCATTCATTTTTACTTTTTATTTGATTTCTGTTTTTTTAAGTATATAATATTTATATACGGCAAATAGAACAAATAAACTCACATATCATTTTCATCTTTTGGTGAGGTTTGAACCCTTTGACCTTGTAGGAGGCCAAGAATTCACATACCGCTAGGCAGATTCTTTGGTTATTTGTTTTATGTTCTATGAATCAAACTGATATCTAAAGATCAAACAATCGACAAGGTAACAAAACCAGCATGCTTTTGAGAGGCAGTTATCTCTCCAAAACTATTGCAAGTAAAGTAGAAAATCACTATGATCTTGTCTCTATTTATAAAAAAGAAAAAGAAGTATATTATGAAATATTAATCAACTTGAATAAGATAATAATCACTCTGACCTTATTAGATAAATAGACAGACAACTGACACTGTGACAAGTAGGTGAGAAAGAAGGGACTATACCTGAAAGACTATCTTTGAGTGTACCATTTACAATATACTCGTAGACCAACATCTGTTCACCTTCATCGAAACAGAAACCCACAAGGCTGACAACATTCTTGTGGTGAACCCTTGAAAGAAGCTCAATCTCAGTTTTAAATTCAAGACCACCCTGTGTTGAGTGCCCTTGAGCTCTTTTAATGGCAACCAATTGCCCATTTGGAAGAGTCCCTCTGTAGACCTACAAATTATCAACCAAATTTTTAGCATCAAGTGGTAAAAGACAAAAGGTTGCAGATTTACCAAAACTAACCATCCCAAAGCCACCAGCTCCTATATTGGCTGTTGCTGTAAAATTATTTGTGTATGTCTTAAGCTCTTCATATGTGAAAGATCTTGCCCCTTTCAGTTGAGGACAAGCACCACTGCCTTTATCTGGATCCCAAGAAGCTGCATGTTTTAATGTTATTAGAGGAGTAGCTACGAGGCTAGAGAGTGTTTTTTGTTTGATATTTACCGAAAGGACTGTTCTTCTTGGTAGCTTTTTCAGCTCTTCCCTTCTGGCGGCAAGCATAAAGTCCTGCAAAGATAAGTAATAGCAGTAGGACACAACCACCCACTGATACTCCAACGATGATTCCGATGCTAACCGATCTGGGTTTTCCTTTTGATGCATCTGTAATTTGTATGCACACCATCAGGAAAGAAACCGGTTATGTGGAAGCTAAATATGTCTACTTTCAGAAAAAATGAAGGTTTACCTGCGAAGGAATCATAGTTGTTGCCAATAAAGAAGTAGGGTCCAAAAAAGTGAGGAGGTTTGTATGTTTGGTTGCTAAACACAAATGCAACCCGAGAAATTCCTGACCTATTGAAACGTTCATCACCAGAGGGGAAGATCTCTAGGCTTATCTCCAGGTAGTCATTCTTTTTCTTGATGGGGCTACTCAGTGAAAGCGAATCAACCGGGAGCTGATTAGATTCAAAAGTGTCCATCATGGTATTCTGAAGGGAAGTATAGATTGTTGAGTTTCCCAGATCAGAGAAGGAAGGAGCCCTGAAAAATAAGGTTCCTGAGTACGGATACAAACATTTACAATTCGGACTTGGAACTTGAGGCAAACTGCATGTATTAGCAGGAACACAATTGTTGGCTGGTGTCGAATATGAGTAGTTAGATCCTGTGGGTTGATCGCAATATGCTTTACTTGCTTCTGATCCGGAACAAAATGGATTACCAACGAAACTGCAACTAATACAAGAGAAATACCAAACGGGTGAAATTGTATTCGTACTAAACAATACAAACTGTACAATGCAATGGGTAACCCTTGGGAGTAGCTCAAATGTTTGCTCCCCATTGTCACCGGTTTAATTGTCACCGGTTTAAGTTCGTAACAGAGCTTTTCCCATGGGATTATAGAAGGTGTGTGTCAGACACCCACGTTTATCCCAAAAAAACAATAGTCGTGGGTAGCGAACATACATCAGGTCGGCAGAGTATCCTTTTCTTAGTGTGAACCCGTTAATCAAGTTATTGGTCATATCAATGAGCCGAAGATGGGTGCTATAAGTAACTCCAAGATCCACGGTACCATTAAGCTTGTTGTTTCTCATAACCCTGAAATGCAATTAGTAATTGTTTCAGAATTTTAACGGGGAAAACTAAAATTAAATTCTGATAATATTAAGAGGATGTCCTCACACAGTCTCTATCTGTGGGATGCTAAATAAGCCAACCGGTACTTCTCCTTGAAGCCCTGTATTTTGCATCATCCTGACATAGCAAATTTAACAAACAGTTAATTAAAACTGATCAAGAAAATAATTTAGCTAGAAAACTATTCCTCACATGTTTGGCACGTTCGATGCATGAACCATCTTAGCCTCCTTAAACCCTACTCCATTTGGGACTCACCTAGTTTGTTTGGTTTGGTTTATTGAACATACCAAACATGTTACATATAGAATACATGGTAAAAGAGTAAAATGTTATACATTTTAACCCCTTTGCCTCAAAGGTTCATGATTTGTTGCATGGGTGAGCACATCGTAACCATGACATCCTAGTAGGCAACTCCCATGGCTCAACTTTGGAGCCATGACAACTATATATACATATATCCTGCCAATCTGAAGTGGCAGGAGTAGAGAGATTCAACGAATCTATACCAAACATCTTCGATCAAAATAGAGAATTGGTAGACTGATGAAGACCAAAGTGATTGTCGTTCACTAGCTGTTGAAGATTGAAGCTTTGAATTTTTTCTATAAGCCTTAGCATTATCTAGAGGACTAATCATAGCTCAATTGATACAAGGTACATGAATCAAGGAGCTCCCATTTGACCACTGTTTTTTTTACCTCTGATCTATCTAAAACAACCCTTGAAGAGGATTGCTGACAAATATGAGAGGAGAGGAGGGTCTGCCGAATACGCAGGGTGGAGTCACAGATGACGTTCAACTAAAGTTGGCACAGACTATAAAGTGGTTCAATATGTAGAGAGAGAAATGTACAATGTTGTTAGAGATTGCAAGGATGAAAACCATGGAGGTATCTCTGATGCCTCGAACGAATTATTGCTCATGTCCCTGCAAATGCAGATCAATTACATTTATTAGTTTTAATGATGGGACTAAGAGCAAGTCATCCTTAAAAGGGGAGAACAATAGTGAAATACACAAGCAGTCGCATGATGTAGATACTTACAAATGGTTGAGGACACTCATGCCAGTAAGATTCGGTAATCGGCCATTCAAATTGTTGTTAGATAGAAACCTAAAACAACACAAGTCCACACATATCTCAGTGATTCCTCAAAAAACTGAATAACAAACGCATGTTCTTTTAAATTATGTTTTTCAACTTACAACTGGTTGACTGATGTAAGATTGTTGATATTTGACGGGACTTCTCCACTTAAACGATTCCTGTCTAATCGTCTTTTTCATACACAAAAAAGTTCAAGTTGAATATCAATAAGAAATACACACGACACGCACACCCACACACATATATATATATATATATATTATATTTATCGGTATGTAATAGCTAAAAGTACTCACAACACCTCGAGATTCTGAACCAGTCCTAGTGTCAACGGAATGGTGCCTGTTAAGTCATTATCTTCAAATAGCCTGCTCAATTAACATATATATATATATATATATATATATATCAACAATGAAAATGAATTATGTTCAAAATGGTCATCAAAATTTGGCTCACAGGAACGTACACATGCTTAAGAGTCATTTTTGAGCTGAAGAGCTGAGACGGAATTTCACCCGAGAGTTTGTTCTTTCCAAAGTGGCTGTAATTAAATGGATAGAAGTAAGTTGTATTTGAGATGGTAATGGTTTTTATTAGTATTGTATTTGCACATACAAGTGCTTTGTATTGACCAGCAAATCAAGGCCAGGGGTGGCTCCATCAGAAACTGGTATTCCTCCACTAAGCTTGTTATCAGCTATATCGAACCAGTAAAGTTTAGTGAGATTCCCAAAGGATGGTGGTATCCGTCCAGTGAAGCCATTAGAATTCAAAGCCCTGCAAAATAATCGAAAATGCTATCTTCCTGGCCTTTTTGATTCTTAAATAAGACTTCAAAACAATACCCTTTTCAACATATTTGCACATATCAAAAGATCCTTACAAGTAGCTCAGCTGGGGTAGAGATCCAAGCGACTCCGGAAGTGGACCATTGAAACCGCAACCAACTAAGATTCTGACATAGAATTTCAAAACCAAGTTTACCATTGTAATTATTAACCAGTAAGCTTAAGTTATTAGCACATAATGAGAACGTCCTTACAAACTTGATAATTTGTTTAACTTGCCGATTTCTGGAGTAAGAGATCCTGTGAGACGCTTATTGTATGATAGATCCCTACATGCAATAACATGCTTAAAACTTGCAAGCTTTTTATAAAAGTTAAACTAGCTAACAACAGCTTAGTTTAGTAAACATACAGAGTTCGCAATTCAGATAATTGCGCAATGTCTCCAGACAGCTCACCACTTAAATCTATGTTTGCTAAGGTTCTGAAATGTAATAACAACAAAGTTGGATAGTTTCAGTAGTCATCTGAATATGATCAGTGGGAGAATTGAGTGCTCACATTGATGTCACACGTGAACCGGTGCAGGTAATCCCAACCCATTCATCCCCACATGGGTCCGAGCCAACCCAATTGGGTGGTGTATTCTGCCAATTATCCATGAGAGCGTGTAGATATACATCTGCATCAAAAGGTAAGGATTTGTTCATCTTTTCAAGTCTTGTGAACCTTCACCTAATAATAATATACTGTGTAAAACGAGAGACAGTTATCATATAAAAGTAAGAAAAGGTAACCACATATATCAAGAATGCATTCTGGACTTCATAATAACAGATCTTATTTAAACAACGACTTACATTTTTATGTAAATTTTAACATACTCCATTCAGCCACAAGAGAACATTCAACTTCATAATGTTTTACTTGTCCTAAAAAAGAGTTTTATTTTAAATTTAAACCGCATTATATTCCAAAATTACAATTCTTTTGTTGATTGAATAAAGCATCACTGTGTTAATGTATTTGTATTGTATTTACTCGATGGATAAACTTGTGCAAAATGATTGTGCTTGAATTCATTCTGAGTTGTAAACTGGAGTTTTCTGAGAGATTTTATATATAAGTTCTGGATAGATTTATGATGCATGAAATTTGATTTTCTACAAACACTTTTTGATGGGCACATACTTAAATAGTTGTAACTGATGATTAGGAGGATAAGTATGAAGGAAAAAGTTGTGGAATACAAAAAAGGATTAAATATTGCTTAATGATTTGGTTAAATCAATAAGCTCATTTAGTCCGTAAAAATTGAGACGATAGCAGTAAAACACACAAATAGACTCATGGAGTTTGTCCTAAGTTTGGAAATCCATATGCATCACAAGGATCAAACATAACGGTTTTAACTCTCTTTGCCTTAGAAGCATAACAAACAGCAGAAGAAGAAAACTATAATACAAATCCTTGAACTGAGATGTGATGCTATTGAATATAAAAGAACTTACAATCCTGATCCTGGCCTGATGTAAGCAGCAGATGCATGAATCCTAGCACAAGCAACAGCTCGATTCTTAAGCTCATTTCTCAAGGTAGTAAGCAGTATGTGGCTAGCAGAAATGGTTTTACTTGGGACTTGAATGTTCATAAACCACTATATGGTAATTTATATGCAGAAGAAGATAGCTAGCTTCTTAAAGTATGATTGGTCCACTGGTTTAATAAATGCCCCACTGCACTCATGTCCACATGTCCTACCACTTCATCCATCTTCAACTCTCATTATGACTGCTGATGGATAATTGGATAGTTATTAGTGATGTTATTACTTTTATCTGAGCAATAATCACAGATTTGTTTTCCCCTTAATTGCTCTGTATTTTATGCCGTTACTTTCCCTTGTGTACGTCTTCAATGTACCTACTCGTTACCTTTTTCTTTTTTCCCTCTTCTATGTTCAATGTGTGCTAGTCTCCGGTCGTTTTACAAGTCGGGGGTCTTCACGGAGAAAACGACTCTACTCGTTGCGGTAGAGATCAGGTCTACGTACATCTCACCCTTCCCCTTGGACACTAGTTTCTAGTGGGATTTACAGGATCCCTTCTTTTTAAATTTAAAATACTTAAAAATTGGCAAAAGGTGGAACTGAACAGATTATACCAAAAAACAACCATTGTTACCCAACCTTGTACACGATCACATATGATTTTGTACATCATCATGGTGAATACACAGTTGAAAAAAATATAGTAATATAGATGTCAAATTAAAGAGAAAAAGATGTTTGTGTTATAGAATAATTGAAAAAGAAACAACAATAGAATGGAGAAAATGAATCTGTATTTCTCATTAATCATAGGTCCTTTTTAGGGATGAGTTACAAGTAGATAACTATGAGATATTTCACTTTTATTCTAACTCTAATATATCTATCTCTATCTCTATATCTATTGGCATATCCTTTAGACGATGACACACTTATCCTCAGACCTTACTTGATTCACTTGAATCTTAAGAAGAGTCTATCGTTGTTGATTATAGAAAAACTTTGGCGAAATATGTTTTGTATTATCACCCTTGATAGATCCTACATCCATTTGTTCGATACAGCCTGCATTATCTTCATATATGTATGTAGGATTTTAATTGGTTGAACTTAAACCACTAGCCCCTCTTATATGTGTAATGATAGACCTTAGTCATATACACTCTCGAACCGCCTCATGTAGAGCAATAATCTCTAAATGGTTCGAGGATGTAGCTACAAGGGTTTGCTCGGTAGATTTCCAAGAATTTGTGTCGTGTTTCCAATTGTTAAAACATATCCTGTTTGGGAATGACCTTTATGTGGGTCAAAAAGATACCCAACATCACAAAGCCTACTAATATATCATTTGGGGTTTCACTGTATGGGATAACGCTTTATTTGTTAACCTTTAACAGGTATTATAACCCCATTTTTTTCTTTGTAAGGAAAGAATAACCCCATGTCAATGGTTCCTTTTAGGTATCGAAATATATTCTTGATACCATTCCGATGATGTTGCGTTTGCGCCACGTTAAATCTAGCTAACAAGTTTAGTGAGAATGCAATATATGATCGAGTATATTCTGCTAAGTACAAAAACGCGCCTACTGCACTTAGATAGGGAATTACAGCTCCCAACACCTCTTTGTCATCATTCTTTAGACGAAATGGATCTTTCCTTATATCCAACACGTCGACCGATCATGGGAGTGCTAGCCGAACGCACTTTGTCCATATTAAACCGCTTGATCATTTTCTAGACATATGTGATTAGGAGGAAATAATATTCCACAAAATCGTGGTCCTAGCTCAAATAGCTAGACAAAACCAAGTTTTCCCAAGATCTTTCATCTCAGATTTAGATTTCAAGTAACTTGTGGTTCTCTTATTTTATCAATAGTGCCTATTATATTCATAACATCGACATATAGAGCTTGGATTAAAAGTCTATAACTCGTTTACGTTATAAATACACAAAGGAATGGTTCATCGTTCTTATATCTCTTCCCAATCAAGTATTCACTTAGACGGGTATATCATGCCCACCTAGATTGCTTATAATCTATAAAGTGAACGTTTCAATTTTATTACAAAACCTCTCTGTGGTTTAGAGTTACTTGACTTAGGTAATGTAATGCCATCAGGAACTTATATATATATATATATATATATATATGAATCTAGGTCCTCGTAGAGATACGTAATAACCGCATCACGAGCTGCATTTCCAGTCCTTTGGAAACTACTAAGTTAATTAATTAGCAGAACGTTATAACGTCCATCACAAGAGAGCATGTCTTCTCGTGATCAATCCAGGACATTATGAGAAACTTTGTGCCAAAGGGAAGCCTTATACATTATGACTTAATTATTCTCATTATACTTTTTGACAAATGGTTTATCTATCTTATAGGCTTTATACTAGGTGGGTTAGCACTACCTGACCAAATACCCGTTCATTTGTCAAGTAGTATAATTTCTTGAATTGTTTCTTTTCATTTAGGACATATTTGCTCTTCATTGACATTTTTCAACTAAGCATGGTTCGATGTCATCCTGCTCTATCATCTTATGAGCAACAGTATATATGATATATCATCAATGAGTATGTATGATCTGTCCATCGACTCATATGCACTCTCATAATTCATTTGAGATTTCTTTTATCTCTGGTATCAATATTAACTTTGGAGCGTCCTACGGTAATGATTCATATACATAATTTTAATCATTGACAATCTCATTAGAGGTTTAGTATTGATGATAAATAGTGTCTTACTCTTCTTTTCCTTTAGATGAGTATCTATCGAACCAAGTAGCTTCCCCCATTTCTTTTTGGGAGCCACGACCTCAACCACACCTCCACCATGTGTGATTCCAATGCACATTTCAGCAGCGTTGTACCCTTGTGTAGGGACTTTTAACCTTACGGGTATATTTGCAGCTGATATATGTGATCTTGTCACTCATTGAATGACATAAACGTATCAGGTATCGAGTCTGATTCGTTTGGCTTCAACTTTATATTGTGAAGTTTGAGGATCAAAATGAGGTAGAATGAGAATATTCTATGACACTTCTTGTCGTTCCCATGGAAAATTATTTTTCCATCTCCCCCTAACGATAGAAAGACTATCTCATCAAAGTGACAATTCGCAAATCTTGCGGTAAATAGATCACCTGTCAAGGGTTCTAAATAATGGATAATTGTTGGAGATTCATATCCAACAAATACTTAATCGTCTTTGAGTACCCATTTTAGTGTGTTGTGGAGGTGCAATTGGCACATATACTGCACAACCAAATATACATAATTGTGAAATATCAGGCTCACATTCAGTTGCCGACTGATACGCAGAAAATGGTTGGCTAGCAGAGGGGTCTAAAGCGAATAAGTAGTGTTGAATGTAATATTGCATAACCTCATGCAGAAGTGGATAAATTGGTGCACATAACCAATGTCGTGGCTACCATTTGTATTCTTTTGATAGTAGCTTATGCAAGACCATTTTGTGTATGCACATGAGGTACGGGATGCTCTACATTGATACCAATAGACATGCAATAATCATTAAATGCTTGCGATGTAAATTCTTCAGCATTATCAAGTCGTATAGACTTGATAGTATAATTGGGGTGGTGAGCCCTTAAACGTATAATTTGTGCTAGGAGTTTTGCGAATGCATCTTTTCATGTGAACAATAGTGCGACACGCGTCCATCGTGTTGAGGCGTCAACCAGAACCATAAAATAATATAATGGCCCGCATCCTGGATATTTATATACATAAATATCACCTTGTATTCATTGTAAGAATGGAATATTTTTGTATTATATCCTTAGTTTGGCTAAGGATCAGAGTTTACAAAAGTCATAGGTATTCGAGAGAGCATATTATGATGGTATGTTGCTTCTTGTGCTGTAGAAGTCAATAGTTGTAATTTTGTTAATTGTCTCATTTTGCATTTCACTCAAAAGAAAATGTGTCGATATGTATTTTGCAACACATGGATCATTATGTCATGACCATGGCGTCCCACATGGTCATATTGAAACATATATGTGTTATTGTCCAAAGTTCTTTATTAGCGACAAAATATGATTCAATGACCTAAAAAATCCATTAGTTTGACACATTTATTTCTAAATATATGTTCATTTCATACCATTAGAGTTAATGTACACGTACCCATTTCCATTCTCATGATATTATTTTCAATTGTTACAAATATCTTAACAAGGTTCCTATTAATATAGTGTTTTAGTGACTATTAATCTTGTACTAATAAGACAATAACAGTCCATCGTCCAAGCACTATGGTGGGAGGAATTATAAATATTCGTTTATCTTTTAAGCTTATGTGGAAGGTCCCACAAAAAACACTCAATTTCTCCTTGATACATTCCTACATGGAACGGAGAATTTTGAAAGTTTTATATTTGTTTTCATGTATTTACTTACGTCTATAATGGTCATAGATTTAGTTTTACATCAGCAAATAAAATTAATTTAGTACTTAAAATAAATTCCAAATAAACCTATGCTCAATTAATCTTAGATTTATATGATATAATTCAATTTCAACTTGTTTTTTTATATGAGCGATTATTAATACATTTTTTTTTCTTTTATTGTCCATTATCTTATGGGCAGTAGTTGCATCTCTGCTCTAAGGATTAGAAAATTCTTCTCGACTCTTGTCATGACCCTGATCCTTTTCACGGTCTTGTCTACATGGTGTATAGATGTAATGTGTAAAAAATTGTCTTTAACTCACTATCATTTAGAGTTATTTTCACCTCTAACACTTCCATAATTGACCTTGAAAATTTTCTTAGTCCCAACATGTCTAGCGTTGTTAATCGAATGAACTTTATTATACCTTTCAATCACTTGCAGTAGATTGATGAGTTTGTCTAAAGGTTATATTCCACTTTATATTAATTCATTAATATTTACTAATTTATGAAAGATGAAAATAATGTTATACATCATGCCATCTTTTGAGTTGCTTGTCACAACGATTGAGATGTTTTTTTAGACAATATTTCTTTGTTGAAAATCAGTTATCTTCTTGTAGTTTA